ATACTAGTCTGAAACGTGAAAGCATCTCTCCTCCACAAATTTTCAAGGAGCCATCACAAAAACCCTTGTATTTTTACATTATACTTATTACAATGAAGCAAATTGTAGTTGTTTATGAAAAATACTGAAATCTATCATTTACTTAATTGTATTTCATCACGACTGTATTTAGTATTGGTACGACAGCGATGATCATATACAAACACCCTGCCAAATCCTGATGTTTGATTCGGGAGAGACTTTTGCAGTTAGTGACCAATTTATGGTCTAATTATCCTAAAAGAGCTGGCCTGGGCGAAAGCAAAGCACTCCAGTCTCTGATTCAACATCTGTTATTCTGCATAAATGTACAAATGCAGCACCGCTGGGAGCCACACGCACAACCATCTGGCTTTCATTACCTTTGCATACTTCAAAGTGCCGGTAGCACTGAATTTCATCATTTCATCAAGGTCCAGCTTTACATTTGGTTCGGTTAATTGTCAAGTAAGATCTAGAAATGGTGCTTTCCTTTAGCATGTCATTTAAAATATAATCAAACGTATTGAATTCAGTTAGCAAAAACATCAGTTATCCTCTATGAAAACATCAACTATGTCTAAATTTATTTTAAGATACAGGTCCACAACTATAGCTGTGGCAACTGTAACCAAAAACAAACCTTAGCAACTGCACTCCAAAGATTTTATCTCCCCAGCTGAGTTCTTATCTTCTGTTTTCCTTGACATTTTTCTTTTTTTCCCGTACTTCCCTTTGTAAGAGGGCAACTCATTTTTATGTCTGCTGTTGCTACTTGGTGAGAAAGATGAATCACATTGGCCAGATGTATCTGGCATGATGAATCTGCAGTTCACAGTGCTGGTATGTTGGGGTCATCTTTGGAGATCTTGGATAGGGATTTCAACAGGAACACTTCATTTGCCCAAAGTGACAAGCGAGACCTTACTGGCTATAGAGAAGAAATGGGTGGGAGGGGAATTGTTACTATAGGCAATGTCAAACATGTTCCTACTACTGTGGTTGAACTATATAGCCATGGTATTACCGTTTCTTCAAAAAAGTAGATTGGAAATGTCATAGGGTAGAGAAATATCCCGTAAACCTTTTAAATTAAAGGGGTTGGCAAACGTGCTGAAAAACACCAATATTGGCTCTGTCTAAGCTAGGCCCATGGAAGTTTTGGGATAATATTGGGACTGTTGATGGCACATCTCATTGAATCAGTGCACTTACTCGGATAGTGGGAAAACATCAGTGACTAGCTGCCAGACACCTATAGAGTTCCCAGCAATGTGTATGTTCTTTCTCTTCCCCTCACTTTCATCCCAGATTGTACTCCTTAATATGTTAAAAGCTTTAAACACATGTGATTTATTTAATAAACTGTCTGAAACAATCCTGTTATATTAGTGATTTATTGTTTGATCAGAGGTTTAACTTATACAGC